GTGTACTCTGAAATCAGATCCAACCGCCACAGGAGGAGATTACCCCTTCTTCTCCAGTGGAGCATCTGGTGAATTCGAAGCGAGCACATTCAGGATTGCAGCACAGCTTCTTGCCACTAGGCCACCAGAGCTCCCTTGAACGTTTCTTCATGTGTCTGTTGGCTATCTGAATATCTTCCTCTGCGAAAAGTCTTTCCATGTCTTTTGCCCATCGTAACTGTATTATCAGTCTTTTTCTTTTGGAGGCCCTGAAAGATTCTGTAAACTTCTGATATGAGACCCTTGTCTGAAATGGTATTGCCAAATGCTTTTTCCCAGTCAGTAGGTTTTCTTGTCACCTTGTTGGAAAATGCTTTTGATGTGCACAGGGATTTAATCTTTAGAAGGTCCCATTCATCCATTTTACCCTCTCCAGACTGTGCATTTCCGGCTGTTTGGCAGTCTCTTTACACCATAGACTAGACTGTCTAAGCTTGATCCTATTTTGTCTCTGACGACCTTTATGGTTTTGGGCTTTACTCCCAGGTCTCTGATCCACCTTGAGTTGATTTTTGTGTATGGTGTGAGATGTACATCCTGTTTCAGATTCTGCAGGGAGCAGTCCAGTTTTGCCAGCACCATTTGTTGAAGAGGTAGTCATTTCTCCATTTGAAAGGTTTTATTTCCTTGTCTAATATCAGTTGACCATAGATAGCTGGGCTCATTTCTGAGTTCTGGATTCTGTTCCATTGGTCTATGTGCCTGTCATTGTACCAGCACTGTGCTTTTTGGGTTAGTACCACAACACATAGCTATTAAAAGATATAGTGTCCTCTTGAGCTGTTTGAATGACTGCTTCTTGGTCCATGAACAGGTTACATATGAACACAATGAAATGACTGGAATTCTTATATTCCTCAATGTTATCCATAATTTATTATGACCACACAGACAAATGACTTTGCACAGTCAATAAAATACAAGTATACATCTCTCTGGTATTTTCTTCTTTGCACCAAGATCTATTTGACATCAGCAATGATACCCTTTGTTCGTCATCCTCTTCTGAACCCACCTTGGGTTTCTGGCAGTTCTCAATCCGTGTACTATCCCAGGTTTATTTGAATAATTGCCAGCAAGAGTTTACTTTTATGTGATATTCATGATACTGTTTCGTAATTTCTACATTCTGACGGATCACCTTTTTTTTGAGAATGTGCATGAATTGTGGATCTCTTCCGTTTGGTTGACTGTGTATCTCACTTCCAAATTTCTTGGCATAAATGAGTGAGCAGGCCTGTGTTACATGTGTTTGTTGGAACATTTCACTTGGTGTTCCCTCGATTCATAGAGCTTTGCTTTTCACCAATATCCTCAGTGCACCACAGTATGGAAAACTCACAGACAAGTTACAGTCAGTAATTGTTGTTTTTATGTATACCACTGAGTTGACTACAACTGATAGTGACTCTATGAACAATAGCTCTGAATCTTGTTTTTTCCTGAGCCAACCTCATTATCTCTGACACATATCCTCCATTGCCACAGTCTTTGGGTCAATCCATCTCACCTGGGTCTTCCTATCCTGTACTGACCCTCGACCCCTCCAAGTGTGATGTCTCTAAGGACTGGTCTCTTCTGGCAACATTCCTAAAGTATGTGAGATGGAGCTTTAAAATTCTTGCTTCCAAGGAGCAACCTGGGTTGTTCGCCTTATCCAGGACAGGCCTGTTTATTCCCTTGGCAGTCCATGATATAAGCAAAAAGAGTAAGTAATGATATAATAAAAGGAGGTTGGTCTTTGCTCAGAAGAGAGCTTAGGGCTGAGGGTCAGCCTGGAAGTTCCTGATGCCATTCTGCTCAGGGCATGTACCGGGCCAAACCGAAATTTCCATGAAAGCCCCTGTTTCTCAGTCACAGCCGGGAGACTCTTATTCTTGGCCCTGCAGTAAGCTGTTTTCCTCAGTGCTGACAAAGCCACAGAACATGTCAGGCTGGCCAGCGAGGGGTAGGAGGACTGTGTGTTTGGTGTAACAGGACTGTGAACAGGGAAGGTCAAAGAGTAATAAGAGACCAAAACCTGGGCCAAGGGGACATCAATGCCTAGACCAAATGCTACATGCCTTCTGCTTCAATGTGTCTTCTTCAGAAGGAGCAAGACGGGATGGGGGGGTGGGGGGAAGAGCGCCGAGTCCACCCTCCACTCTCAGCCACCACCTCCACATCTGTAGCCAGAAGGGAAACAGAGACCCAGAGAGGTAAGGCCAGGCTGGAATCTGCCCCGAGAATGCATGTTCTTTTGTTGGTCGTTTTTCATATGCGCTCATCTCCTAATAGGGAACATCCGCAGACAAGTGATTGCTGGTTACTTTGTATGTGTGTGAATGCGTAAGGCCATGCATGCATTATTTTAACGCAACTTTTTGAAAACGAATCTTATCTGTAAACTTTCAAATCATAATACAATGTTTACAAAACAGCAGCATCTTTTTCTAACACCTACTACCCTCTGTGGAGCCAGTGCCTGAGCCCCAGATAAGCAGCCTCATTCCTTCAACTCTTACCTCCTTTACTAATGACCACCAGTTGCACGGGGAACAATGTTGAGCATCTGCAGCGCTTCCACACCTTACAGAAAAGGGCCACCACTCAGCCGGACCCTTTGCCATTTAATCCTTCTCACCCGTGACCTGGCAGGGTGGGTGTCAATGTGCCCATTTTACAGATGGGGAAAATGAGGTGCAGAAACACTGATTGACTGGCCCCGGTTCCTCACCATCACACCTTTGTGGTCTCCTGTTCGGAGGGAAATTCTAGAGGAAGAGAGGAAGCTCACTGATGCGTGGAGTGTCCACCGTCCTTGGGGTTGGCGCCTCCTGGACTCCCTATCTGCTCCAGGCCTCACCCAAGCTCTTCAGAAGTAGCACGACGGCAGTCACCAGGGAGCAGGGCCCAGAGAGATCAATCCTCTAACTGATACCTTTAGGCAGGGGTGATGTTGGGCAGTGTTTTCACTACTCTGAGCTTTGGTTTACTCATCTCTAGAATGAGGATGATATAAGGTTTCTGTGAGATTAGAAATTATAGGTGCATAGGGTCCATGTATGGTACCTGGGATCAAAGTGCTTCCCTGCTTCAGCCTCAAAAGCACTAACAGGCTTTAATATTCATCACAGGTCAGAGGCGATTTCATCATGTGGCTTGCACTGCAGGGAAAGGCACTGTCAGACTCAGAGCTTAAGCCTCAGCACAGTTTCTTGGAGTTTCTGGGACAGCCCACAACTCTGAGGCTCTTCTCTTTTGACCCCTGGCATCCCTGAGCCCAATGGCAGAGGTCACAGCTTGAGCAAACATCTGGAGGTAGACACGCACTGGCCTGGGGTTACAAGAATCAAGGTGACAAGGGAGGGACTATCCCATTTGTATTTTAGGGAGAGATGTTGGGCCTCATGAAAGTGATGACTGAGTAAGAGATGGGAGGAAGGTGCCGGTGGGGAAGAAGAGGTGAGATGGTCAAAGAGCTGTCGCTCCACTAGGTAAAGAAATGATGGGAAGGGCTTATAGGTGGATTCTGGTGGGAGAAGAGGGCCTGGCACTAGGCTTGCCTGGGTTGGAATCTTAGATGCCACTTATTGCCTGTGTGACTTTCAGTGGATTACTTAACCTCTCTGACTCTCAACTTTCCCCTCTGTGAAATGGAAATAACAATACTCCTACCCAATAAGGCTGTTGAATGAGTTCCATAAAGGAGGCCCAATGTAAGTATTAGCTATTATTAGGGGAGACATTTAGAGGGTAGGATTGTTAGGGCTCATGACTATCTGGGGTAGGAGAAAAGAGGATTTTGAGGTACCTATGGACTGTGGGTTCCACAGCTACAAATCTATCTGACTCAATGCCAGTGAATTTTGTTAATTTTTAGGGACAACAGCCCATGTTTGTAGTAAGTGCAGACAAAACGACATGGCACAAAGCATCACTAGACTTGGGTAACAATGACAGCTCTGACCGGAGCATGTGAAAAGGTTAAAAAGAAATCAAATTAGCATACAGCTCTAGCCTTGTAAGAATGTTAACACACGTAAACTAGGCTTACAAAAGGTGTCTTTTGTTGTTTCATTTTTATAAAAAAGAATACATTTCTGCTGGGACATAGCACACAAAAATTTTATAGACGGTCATTTTGGTGCCAACCCCTGACAGCATCTCCCATGAGAAATGTGTACCCCACATTTTCCAACAGTGACACCCCTGCTTTCAAGAAGATGTTCCTGCCTGGCGAGGAACCAGAGCTGCCACTACTATTACTGACAACAACCGTAACAACACCATGTACGCTCCCTGGGAACATTTCTCAACCATGTGCTGATATATAGTAGACAGTCGGTACCCAACTAGGATTTGTTGAATGAATGAATGAAAGGAACAGCTGCCTGCCATGTAGCAAGTGCTCACAAACATTTTCACATTTAATCTCTACAACCACCCTATGAAGTGGGCTCGGTTGCCCAAGTTAGTTTACAGCATGGCCTGGTTTCTTATCTCTGTTTGTCCCATGCCAGAGTCCATCTCATCACATTCGTACTGCCATGCCTGGCTGAGAGGTGTTGAGTAACAAAATAAATGCACCTTGAAGCAGGTGTGTGTCAGGAGGCCCAGGGTTAACTTTAGTTCTAGGGAATGTTGTGTTGTTTTTTTGTTTTTTTTTTTAATTTTGGCAAGTTCAGACTCTTTTTCATGGTGCAATCCTCATTTAGATGGTGTTGACAGGCAGGCTCTGTTTGAATCATAACAATTCTTTGTGACGAGGTCCACAGGAACTGGTACTTATACAGGGCAGAGTCCACTGCCATGGTCCAGGCTCCCTCAGAAGCCCTCTGGTCTTATCTCTCCCGACTGCTCCTCTGGCCTGAAGACAGCCAGCCACACATCCTGTTCCGGCAGAACAACCTTGTCTAGCATCCCAGATCTGCCCGCAGACATTGCCCCGCCTCCATCACCCCACAAGGCCCCTCTCTCACCTGAAGACGTCTACCCGAGTCTCGGTGCCCAGCACACATACAGCATGAGTGGGCCGCTCCAGGTCCAAGCAGATCACTGCCCCCTGGGCCATCGTCCCAGCTCTTCCCTTGCCCCCAGCTCGGTTGCAGGGAGCCCCCGGGTTGGTTCCTTTATACTGCCTGGCAGAGGCCATGAGTCAGCGCCTGTGGTGGAGGCCAAGCCCCGGCCACTCCCTGGTCAAGTCCTGGCTGTGCTCTCATCTCTTCTCTGCCCTTGAGCTGTCCCTTGGGGAGCTCACTGTCAAGTGAGGAAGCCCTCATCTGGGCACAGGCTTGAGCCTTGACGTGCAGGTCTGATCCCAGCTGGTAGCCCAGAAACCATCTAGATTCTCCGACCCCACCTCATGGTCCTAGACAAGTTCGTGGGAAAGAGAAGGCAACACGAGAAGGGAGCTTAGGAGCTTTCAGACAAGAGGTCACAGCTCAGACCATGTTCAAAGACCAGGCAGGCCTGAGACAAGTCCCCACACGCTGGGTCACCCACGTGACAGCTCCCCACTCTCGCCTATGCCTGGGATTACTCATCACAACAAGCTTATGAAGCAGGTGTTCCTACCATCCTTCTTTCTCGTCCACCACAAAGTTGATACTATTATTATCCCCCACTTTACAGGGGAAGAAACTGAGGAGCAGAGAAATTCCACATCTAGAAAGCCCGAGAGGCAGGGTGTGAATCAAAGACGTCTGACTCTAGAGTATGATATTGTTTAGCAGCCTGTTCCTGCCATGTGCACCTTTCAGACTATTATACCAGCTTTCCTCTGCTGTTGTTAGTGCCATCAGGTCAAATACAACTCACAGCAACCACATGATCGGAACCCTGTCCTATCGTGTACCATCCTCATAATTTCTGACATTCTTGAGCAGCCCATTGCCACAGTCACTTTGTCATCCATCTCACTGGAGGTCTTCCTCTCTTTTGTTGACAGACCGTCTTTCCAAGAATGTTGCTGTCCAAGGAACAGTCCCCCCTAACAACGTGCCCAACACTGCAGCTCAAAGGCATCACTTCTTCTGTCATACTTATTCCTTATCCAGTTCTCAGATGCACAGCAAATGAGCAAAATGATAATAGCCAGAATCAAGCACACCTTAGCTTTTAAGCTGACCTCATTGCTCCTCAGCACTTTGGAGAGGTACCTGACAGCAGACTATGCCAATGCAACACATCTCCTGATCTCCTGACTGCTTACAGTGTATAGGTATGTGTTATTACTACCCATTTTACAGAAGGGGAAAATTCACGCTCAGAAAGGAAAAGTGCTTGGCCAAGGCTGCAAAGCTAGAGCTGACCAGGAAACTGATATTCTTCTCATCCTTCCATAATGCCTCCTTCCTGTTGGGGCCTCTGGGTGTCAGACCAGTCAGAGCAGGAAGGGATCAAGCCTGCCACAGTGACAGTCAGCCACAGAGCTGTGATTGTACTTGGGCTTTTGATACCAGGCTTTGTCTGTCAGGAGGGAGATGAGAGAGGAGAGCTGGACAGGCCCCAACAGGGAGCATCCCGAGGGAGTGGGCCTGGGCATTTGGAAGGAGCATAGAGCATTGTTCAGGTTGGCGATATTGTGTTCAGTTTGCTTTTGCTTCAAAACACAAAGGTTTGCAATAATAAGGTTTGTAAATAAAAGTCTGACTTTGAGAACAGACAAGTCTGGATTCAAATCCTGCTTCATGCCTGTGAGACAGGTCCTTTCATGATACCTGCTTTATACAGATGAGCCACAAAGTCCCCAAGAGGCTAAACAAGTGTCCCGAGGCCCCACAATACATAAATCAGGGGTTCCAGGATCCAAATCCTTCTCTAGGCTCAAAGCCCCATCCTCTATCCAGGGAAAATGTAGCTAGAAATGCACACTAGTAATGAAGTGATGTAAAAAAATGAAGTGTCTTTGTCTGGCCCTATTGGCCTAGTGGTAAGGAGTTGCACTGTCAACCCAAAGGCACATGGTTCAAATCCACCAGCTGCTACATAGGAGAAAGATGGGCAATTTACTGCCTCTTAAATGTGCTGGAGGGTCAATTGTAATTTGGTTCTGACTCAAAAGCACACACAAAAAATTATTCAAATTAATTTGCTCTTATAGAAGTTGCCAGAAAGGAGCCATCAATTGTCAAGTTGATTGGGCCCTCAGGGAACACCATATCCAGCCCTCATTCTGTGGATGGGGAGGTCCAGAGAGGGGACGTCCATGTGCATAATCCATGGGATGCCCATGGTCACACTGCAAGTGAATGGGAGAGCTGTAACTCCAAGTGTCAGTTTTTTTGGCAATCTAAGTTTTAGATGACATGGGGAGTTTCATATTTTCCTCCTCACTGCTTCCCGGCATGTCACATATCTAGTTTTGTTGATTATGTAAAGGAATTTGACATTGAATTATGGCTAGCATTGAGAAGAATGGGAATTCCAGGACTTAATTGTGCTCATAAAAAACCTCTACCTAAACCAAGAGGTGATTGTTCAAACAGAGCAATGGGTTTGGGGGGTAACACTCACTCTGGCTTCTCTGATGACTGCATCACCACAAGCTGCTCTCTTTTGTTGGACAGAGATGCTGTTCACAAGTTTTCAGCATCATTATGTTACAATGCACCAACACACTGTGCCCACACCTGGGACTATGTGCAGGAATGTTGTGGATTTATCTTTGCACAATTTGGCTGTTACTGTCACCACAATCCTCACCTGCAGTTATTCTCCTCTTAATCCATCTTGCCCCAGAACATGAGTTCTAGATGAGCTCAGGAAATACTGGGTCTCAGGCTCTCCCCAGAGCACCCCCTTCTCTGGCAGGCCCTCGAAATTATGCTGGGGTGGATGCTACAGAAGAGGGAGGGATGGTGCTTAAGACTGTTGTAGCCAGATGGCCTGGGTTCAAACTTTAGCTCCGCACACCCTCTAGTTAGGTGACCCTCGATGAATTACTTTGCCTCAATTTCTTCATCTGTAATGTAAGGATGACAATTGTTTTTCTTGAAACTGTTGTGAGGGTTATTTAATTCAAATATACATCAAGCTTCCTGAAAATGCCTGATACAGAATGAGTAGCACTCAACTCAAATCTCAACTCATTGCCGTTAAGTCTGAACCAACTCATAGCTGACCCTCCAGTGGGCTTTTGGAGGCTTAAGATCACATGGAAGGAAATTTCCCATCCTTTCCTCTCAGAGCCAATGGTGGATTTGAACCACTAGAGGCACCACATTTGGATTAGCAGCTCAACTCTCTACCCACTCAACCAATTGAGGTACCTCGGCTTCTACATCACTTCCTCCAGGAGAATGTGCCTGAAATTTGTCACTGTCTGCCCAGCTAGTCTGGATTATCCGTGAGACACAGTCGGTCTTTATCTGTCTTGGTTGTGTTCCTGGTGTAGTTGGAGGAGACAGATGGGTAATCTCCTTCTGTGTGATAGACAACCTGGAAAAACCTACTAGAGGGTAAGTTGTGACTCAGTTCTGACATTGAGCTCTGGTGGCTTGGTGAGTAAGGAGTTGTGCTGCTAACCCAAAGGCAGGCAGTTCAAATCCACCAGTTGTTCCATGGGGGAAAGATGGGACATCTCCTCAGAGATTTCCCCTGGCAGAGGCCTGTGATACAGCCTCTGAAAACGTGCTGGAGAATCAGCTATGAGTCAGGGTTGACTCCATGGGGGGGGGGAGTGGAGAGAGAGAGAGAGAGAGAAAGAGGAAGAAGAAGGAGAGAAGAGAGAGAGGAGAGAAAGAAGAGGAAGAAGGAGGAGGAGGAAGAGGAGAGAGGAGAGAGAGAAGAAGAAGAAGAAGAAGAAGAAGAAGAAGGAGGAGGAGAGAGAGAGAGAGAAAGAAGAAGAAGAGAGGAGAGAGAGAAAGAAGAGGAAGGAGGAGGAGGAGGAAGAGGAGAAAGGAGAGAGAGAAGAAGGAGGAGGAGGAGGAGGAGAGGAGAGAGGGGGGAGAGAGAGAGAGAGAGAGAAAGAAGAGGAAAGAGGAGGAGGAGGAAGAGGGGAGAGGAGAGAGAGGAGAGAGAGAGAGAAAAAGAAGGAGGAGGAGGAGAGGAGAGAGGGGGAGAGAGAGAGAAAGAAGAAGAAGAAGAAGAAGAAGAAGAAGAAGAAGAAGGAGGAGGAGGAGGAGGAGGAAGAAGAGAGAAAGGAGAGAGGAGAGAGATAGGAGAGAGAAATAAGAGGAAGAAGGAGGAGGAGGAGGAGAGAGGAGAGAGAAGAGAGAGAAGATGGAGGATGGGGGATGGAAAGGGAGAGAGGATTAGAGAGAGGGATGGATAGAGGGTAAGACAGAGAGAGAAGTGGTAAAGGAGGTTAAGTGTTGGGCTCTCACTGGAAGGTCAGCAGTGTCACACATTTGAGGAAAAAGAAGTGACAGCCTGCTCCTGTTAAGATTTATAGCCTCAGAAATGCAATGGTGAGTCACTATAAGTTAGAATTGACCAATGGCAGTAGGCATTTTTAACCATTTGTAACTAAATATCATGACTTTGTAGCTCAGCCCATCACTTGATCCATGGTGGTAGCCTGGATGTACCAGGAGGTCCTGAGCCTGTCAGAGCCCTAAGGTCGCCTTGGGGCTGAGCACCCTCTCCCATCCACATGGACAACTGGCTCAGAACTCAGGTCAGAGCCCAGAGGAAGAGGCCCCTTTTCCTGCCAAAATGCAGACTCACCAGCTCAGTGTCTCACCTGGAGGAAGTGAAGGTGTTCTGAGGGTTGCCCAATGCCCTCTAATGCTCAGGGCCAGAGGACATCCTGGCACCAGTGGCTGGTCCAGCAATTCTGCTCCAGGTGATCACGATGATGTCATTCTGGGGAGAGGATTGGGCTGGGAATCCTCCCTGAGACTCTGAGACTGAAGGTGGTGGTTGTTAAATACCCAGATGATGTGGGCAACCCTCAGAAAGCAAACACTGAGACCACGGGCAGTGCAGTGGTATTTGGAGTAGATGGTCTAGACACCTCTTCAGTAAGATTTATTTATTTAGTTCTTCATTTAAAAAACTGATGCGGTAATGATAATTGGCACCTGGAATGCAAAAGTATGAAACAGTGAAGAAGGAAAAGTAGTTGGA